TACATAGGCGCTGGGGACTGAGCATGAGCTGTATCGTCATCAACAAGACAGATGAGGGTCCGACGCTTATGAGCAGAGGCAATCATAAACCAATGACTAAAAGTCCATTTTAAATCTGATCAAAATCACGTAATGACAATGACAAAAAAGAACTACAGCAACAGGTCTGAGTAAATCCCAGCTGGAAGCTCTGGGGTTTGTAGACAACCAGAGTGGGATCTTCAAGCAGAGTCTGGCTCAAGATTGAGACGATTCCCAGCAGAATGAATGGAGCAGTAACATAGTCAGAAGGCCCTGAGGGAGGCAGGCGGCTCTTCTTGTTCCTGCCAGCACACTCTCCCCAACTTCTGATAACAGACCCCCCAGTACCATGGGAAGATGGCCAAAAATGGCCACCCACAGTACTTGTTCCTCGGCTACAGTAATTGGTCCACGCATAGACATGTGACCCACCACGACCAATCATAGCAGCCCACTTCTGAGCCGGGATGCAGTCATTGGTCCAGGTGTAGTCATGTGACTCAAGCAGGGCAAATTCAGGATTGTCTGCAGAGCTTGTGGGGAGGGTGTTCCTTTCCCTCCTCTCTGGCATCCAGGCCTTAAAGAGGTGGACTTGGCACCACCAGTGGCCTCAGACAGTAAGGCCAATAAGCAGAGAGGAGGAGAAATGAAAGATGAGGTGAGGGGGATGAGGCAGGAAAAGAACCCAGAGCTTCCAGTCCCTGGATCGTAGAGAGCAATAGAACCTCTTCCCTTTCCTCATCGTAGCTACCCAGTGAATAAATGCTTCGTTCTACCTCATTCAGATCAACTTCAGTGTCTGCTGTTTGCAACCCACAGTGTCCCAATTCAGGACTTGGGAACTGTTTTCCTTTTCATGGATTGTGTAGAACTGAAAGGGATAGGGCATTCTCAGAACTTACATTCCTGTCCCGATGTGCCGACTGTAGTTAAAAATAAAAGAATCCCAGACCCGTCTCCATGTTCACCACCGCCCCTCCTGTTAATTTCCAGCTGAACTGCAGTTCAACACGTGCTGCGATTTCAAGTCCTGCCCTAATCAATTCACTCCCACCTCCCCAACCTTAACCCCAACGCACACGCACCTCCACGCTGGCCTGCGCGTGCAGCCTGCCCTGGCCTCTGCTGTGACGCCTACCACATTATATTTGTAATGATTCGTTTATGACTGTCCCCCTAACTAGGGAAGGCATCGAACCTGAGAATGAGGCCTCATTCATCTCCGTACCCCAGGCCCTGGTACGCAGCAGGCAGATAGCAAGTATGGGAGGGAGGTAGGGGAGGAAGAAGGAGGGAAAAAGGGAGTTCCTTCCTATTTTTATGTGTCACTCCTAGGCTCAAGTTCCGTATTCGTTCCAACCTCTGCCTGTTTTCCTTTTTCCTTTTTTTTTTTTTTTTTTTTTAGTGGAGTTTTGCTGTCGTTGCCCAGGCTGGAGTGCAACGGCGTGATCTCAGCTCACTGCAACCTCCGCCTCCTGGGTTCACGCAATTCTCCTGCCTCAGCTTCCCAAGTAGCTGGGATTACAGGCGTGCGTCACTATGCCCAGCTAATTTTGTGTGTCTCTGTGTGTATGTGTATATATTATATATATATATAATGTATGTTTTATACATGTTTTATGTTTATATATAATACAGATTTTATATGTTTTATATAATATATATGTTTTATGTATATAATATATTGTATTGCTCTCTACGATTCAGGGACTGGAAGCTCTGGGTTTTTTTTCCTGCCTTATCCCCCTCACCTCATCTTTCATTTCTCCTCCTCTCTGCTTATTGGCCTTACTGTCTGAGACCACTGATAGTGACAAGTCCACCTCTTTAAAGCCTGGATGCCAGAGAGGAGGAGGGAAAATAAAATATATATATATGTTTTTTATATATGTTTTATATATAATATATATGTTTTATATTTTATATATATATATATATATATATTTTAAACTAGAGATGGGTTTCACCATGGTGATCAGGCTGGTCTCACACTCTTGACCTCAAGTGATCCACCCACCTTGGCCTCCCAAAGTGCTGGGATTACAGGCCTGAGCCACTGTGCCCAGTCCCTAGTTTCCTTTTTCTACCTGTCTTCCCTCAGGTAGACACACCCCTCATGCCCTCACCACCTTCAGGCCTCTCCTCCAATCCCCCTTCCTTCACCCCCTGGTCCCTCCTTTCTGCTTCCTCGCTCTCTGTAGCACCTTCTACCACCATCCACCCTCCTTCGTGTTCTATTTATTTTGTTGATTTCTCCCTCATTGACATGTCAGCTCCAGGCGGGCACGCTTCTTTGTTGTGTTCTATGCTGGCTGTATCCTCAGCACCTAGAACTGGGCCTGTCACCTAACAGATGCTCAGTAAGGGTCTGTAATGAATGGATTATTTGTGTTTGCCCACACAAGCAGGTCTATCAAACTTGTTTTCTCATGTACCTGTGCATTTCATGCTTCTAACAGGTATAAGGGAAGTCTGGTTATATATTTTTTCCTGGGACTGCTATAACAAATTATCACAGACCATAGGGCTTAACACAGCAGATTCGTTTCAAAGTTCTGGTGGCCAGAAGGTGGAAATCTAGCAGGGCTACACTCCTTCCAGGCACACAACGCAAGATGTGTGTCTTGTCTTTTCCACCTTCTAGTGGCTCTGGCGTTCCTTGGCTTGTGGCCGCATCACTCCAGTCTCTGCCTCCGTCTTCTTATCTTCCTCTTCTCTCTGTCCTGGTCTCTGATTCTCTTTTCTAAGGATACATGGATTGCGTTTAGTTCCCATCTGGATAATCCAGAACAAATGCCTCCTCTCAAGATCCTTAATCAGTCTTTTTCCAGGGATTCAATTTGAAAGTAAACATACTTACTCTCTCTCTGGGGGCTGCTATTTAGCCTACTGCAGGTTATCTGCATAAATAAATCAGAAAAGCAGAGATTCTCACCTCCCCACAACTCCATTGTCCTAGCAGGCATGCAATAAAGAGAGTATTATTGCGGTATTGTTATTACGGAGCACAGAGTGTGGAAATGATTTTTAAAACACCATTGTATGTTCTTTAATTGTGCCAAATTTTAAAAATGAAACTATGCCTAGTGAGAAAAAATACAAAAGAGAATAAGGTGGAAATAAAGGGACGATTTGCCTTTTTAATTAATTTATTGTGTTTAGAGACAGGGTCTCACTCTGTCACCCAGGCTGGAGTGCAGTGGTGTGATCATGGCTCACTGCAGTCATGAACTCCTGGACTCAAGCGATCCTCCTGCCTCAACCTCCAGAGTAGCGACTCATGCCACCATTTTTATTTAATTATTATTATTATTATTATTTGTAGAGTCAGGGTCTCACTATGTTGTCCAGGCTAGTCTTGAACTCCTGGCCTCAAGCAATCCTCCCACCTCATCCTACCAAAGTGCTGGGACTATAGGCTTGAGCCACCAGGCCTGCCCTGCAATTTTTCTTTAACTCCAACTTCACTTTATAAGACAACCACTGTGGGCAGTTTGCACAATCTTTATAAATTTTGAAAGCATGCACTTTTTTTGGTTCATAGTGGTAAGAAAGTTGGGGGTATATAATATATCCTGACAGCTCTTAGAACCACCTCATTCTTTCTAATGACTCCTAGCATTGCATCATACTTAACCTGCCTTCTACTGGCGAACATTTCAGTTAACTCGAGGATTTTGCCTTTATAACATCTATAGTCTTTGGCATGTGACCAAGATTACTTGTAGGATAAATTCCTAGAAGTGGAATTTCTTGGTCAGAGGAGATGTGCCTTTTTCCTTTTTTTTTTTTTTTTTTTGAGACAATCTCACACTGTTGCCCAGGCTGGAGTGCAGTGGCACGATCTTGACTCACTGCAGCCTCCACCTCCTGGGCTCAAGTGGTCCTCCTGCCTCAGCCTCCTAAATAGCTGGGACTACAGACATGCACTACCACACCCAGCTAATTTTTTTGTATTTTTTAGTAGAGACAGGGTCTCACCACGTTGCTCAGGGTGGTCTTGAACTCCTGAGCTCAAGCCATCCTTCAGCCTCCCAGAGTGCTAGGATTACAGATGTGAGCCCCCGCTCCCAGCCAAGAGGTGTGCATTGTACATTTCTACAGCTATTGCCCAGGGCCTTCAAAAGGTTACCATTCACATGCACATCAAGGGTACACCTGTAGAGGCTGGGCTCGGTGGCTCACGCCGGTAATCCCAGCATTTTGAGAGGCTGAGGCAGGAGGATGGCTTGAGCTCAGGAGTTCAAGACCAGCCTGAGCAACAAGGCAAAACCCTGTCTCTACAAAAAATACAAATATTAGCCAGGCATAGTGGTGCATGCCTGTAGTCCCAGCTACTTGGGGGGCTGAGGCAGGAGGATCGCTTGAGCCCGGGAGGTCAAGGCTGCAGTGAGCTGTGATTGTAGCACTATACCCCAGCCTGGGTGACAAAGTAAGACCCTGTCCCTCCCCCACCATAAAAAACAAACCTACATTGGTGAGGGTGCTGTTTCTGACACCCTTTTTTACCCCAGCAAGAATGCGGTGTGTCAGGAGAAGCAAATCCCACATGAGGTAAGTGGATTTTCTATGTGGGCCTGGGTCGGGGCAGACATGGCCTCTGAGGTTGTCCCTGTAGCTGTCTGAGGAGATAAGCTATTTAGAGCTCTTGTTAGTGTAGGTTTTATTAACAAAGGCAGAGTCTGGGGAGGTGAGCCAGACCGTGCGGCAGCGAAAAGCGTTGTGCAAGTCAGTATTTATTTCTTTAGTGCAGTTAGAACTTAAATATGGTCAAAACATATTCTTCTTTTAATTTACACAAACAAATATGTTCCCAGGCTGACACCTCCCGTGCCAAGTTTCTAGGGGAAGCAAAACTCTGCTGTGAGATTATAAACCACTCGAGAGAAGATGAGAATGGAAAACCCGCCGAGAGTTAGCTCTCTCTACACGCCCAGAACTGGGCTGCTAAGAGGTGTCTTTTTTTTTTTTCATTGCAGATAAACCTGCCAGTAATTTCAGCAAATGAAACGTGGAACGCGTCAAGGCCAGAGGATGGAAAAGGCTCCGGTTTTGATAAAAGGAGGCCTGCTTGGCTTGGAATCCTCTCTCCTGCTGGTTGGAAGATGCAAAGATGTTTCCAGAGAGGGGCTGAAGAATTGAGGGGAAAGAAATGAGCCCAGTATGAGTCCCCTTTCAGGGCTGAGCGCATATAAAACCAAACAAGTTGGAACTGCTCCAAGAGAGGGGATTAAAGCAACATGTTATTCTGAGTGATTGCTTAATTTATTGAGCTGCGGCTGGATCTGTAATGAAATACAGCCCTTGTAACTGATAACCTCCTGCTGCAATTGAACTTCCACAATTAAGGAATATTTTCCGAGTTTCTCTGGAACGGCTCTGAATTTCTAGCCTCGGTGACAGGGTGCTTCTGAACATTTGTTTTCCAGGCAATTTTTTTTTTTCTTGAGTATCAGACTGATGTTAATAAATAAGCAGCATTTTATTGAGTGCTTTGTGGGAACCAGGAACTTTATATACATTATATCTAATCCTGACACTAATCCTGACAATATCCCATGAAATAACCCCCATTATTCCCTATTTGATGGATGTGAAGCCACGAGACGTTCGGTCATTTTCTAGAGTGGTGCTGTCCGAGACAGTAGCTGTTATGGCTCCTTGTGGCTATTGATGTGTAAGTACGTTAAAATTAAATAAATTTTAAAGTTGACTCCCTAGGTTGCACTAACAATGAGTTCAAGTGCCCAGCAGCCTTGTGTGGCTGATGGCTGCCACGTTGGACAGTGCAGATATAGACCATTTGAAGGTTGCACGAGTGCTATTGATCAGCACTGACTCAGGTTTCCTTTTTTTTTTTGAGATGGAGTTTCGTTCTATCATCCAGGTTGGAGTGCAATGGTGCAATCTCAGCTCACTGGAACCACCACCTCCTGGGTTCAAGCGATTCTCCTGCCCCAGTCTGCTGGGTAGCTGGGACTACAGGTGCATGCCGCCATGCCCAGCTAATTTTTGTATTTTTAATAGAGATGGGGTTTCACTGGCCAGGCTGATCTTGAACTCCTAACCTCAGGGGATCCACCTGCCTCAACCTCCCAAAGTGTTGGGATTACAGGCCTGAGCCACCACGCCCGGCCGGGTTCAGATTTCATAGCTAGAACCTGGCAGTGCCAGAATTCAAGCCCAAGCTAATGGGCTTTGAAGGCAGAGTTCATCTGCCAGCCGTGTTGCTTCTTTTTCTTCCCTCTGCTGAGAAGCAAGGAACAGAGCAGTGATTCTAACCCCTGGCTACACATTAGAATTACCTGCAATTCTTTTTTTTTTTTTTTGAGATAGAGCCTCGCTCTCTCACCCAAGCTGGAGTGCAGTGGTGCAATCTCAGCTCGCTGCAACCTCTGCCTCCCAGATTCAAGCAATTCTCCTGTCTCAGCCTCCCAAGTACCTGGGATTATAGGCGCCTGCCACAACGCCCAGCTAATTTTTGTATCTTTAGTAGAGATGGGGTTTCGCCAGGCTGGTCTCGAACTCCTGACGTCAGGTGATCCACCCGCCTTGACTTCCTTAAGTATTGGGATTACGGGCGTAAGCCACCATGCTAGGCCTATCTGCAATTTTTTTCTTTTCTTTTCTTTTTTTTTTGAGGCGGAGTCTCTCTGTCTCCCAGGCTGGAGTGCAGTGGCGTGATCTTGGCTCACTGCAAGCTCCACCTCCCGGGTTCACGCCATTCTCCTGCCTCAGCCTCCCAAGTAGCTGGGACTACAGGCGCCCTCCACCTCGCCCGGCTAGTTTTTTGTATTTTTAGTAGAGACGGAGTTTCACCGTGTTAGCCAGGATGGTCTTGATCTCTTGACCTCGTGATCCGCCTGCCTCGGCCTCCCAAAGTGCTGGGATTACAGGCATGAGCCACTGCGCCCAGCCCCTGCAATTCTTTTAAAAAATGATGGTAGGGTCCCAGGCCCAGAGAATCTGACTGACTTCACTGTGATTAAGCTGGGTGGGGACAGGCATCAGAGGTGTTTATACTTCCCCATGTGATGCCCGTGTGCAGCCAGTATGTAGAGCAGTTAGGTGTGAGGACTTACATAGCGGATGCTGAAAGCAGCTGGTTCATCTGCCATGAGAACGCAGTTTCTTGTGACCAAGAAGTGGGCTTCTCCCAGGGCCACTTCTAAACCACCTCATCAGAGAGCTCAGGTTCATATCCGAGGGAAGAAACTTAAGTGCTTTCTCACACGTTTCCAGCTTGATGAGAATCACAGTGGGGAGCTTTGCTTTTACAAACAGGCTTGGTCACATGGTCATGGAAGAAAGGAGATGCCCACGTAAGATCACAGAGACAAGGTGAAAAACCTATAGCCCCAAATTGGAATTGGAAGCATCAGTATGAATTTGTGCTATATTTTTGTCTTACAAAGTAAAGCAGGTGTTTGCTAGCTCTGTCCACTACAAAGTTTAGAAATAATGAGCCATCCAGTAGCAGTGGACACCCCAGCACCCAGGTTAATGGTTTCTAAACACCACTTCTGACTAGAAACAAAGGCATGGAGAAATGACCAATTCCAGGTCTGAGGTAAGAAAAAAATTCAAGATGAGCCTGGAATATCTGGTCATTCCTTGCTTCGTTGATAGCAAGGAAGGTGTCAATGACTTCCAGGGTCATATTGAAAAGGATGCAGGAGACAACATGGAGTGGCTCCCAATGGGACAGTTTCAGCATCATTAAGAATAATGACTGTAGGCCGGGTGCAGTGGCTCACACCTGTAATCCCAGCACTTTGGGGGGCCAAGGTGGGTGGATCAGTTGAAGTCAGGAGTTCGAGACCAGCCTGGCCAACATGGTGAAACCCCATCTCCACCAAAAATATTAAAAAGTAGCCATGTGTGGTGGTGCACGCATGTAATCCCAGCTACTTGGGACGCTGAGGCAGGAGAATTGCTTGAACCCAGGAGGCGGAAGTTGCAGTGAGCCAAGATTGTGCCACTACACTCCAGCCTGAGCGACAGAGCAAGACTCCCATCTCAAAGAAAAAAAAAAAGGAATAGTGTAATGGATTGAAACATATCGTATATGTCCAAATCTATGAGTTGACAATACTTAAAAAAAAAAAAAAGAAAAATAATTGATCACCTTGGGAGGATATTGGAAAACCAACTCATTTTGAAAACTGTCAAAGGGAAAGAAGCATTTATGCTTTTTGGTACAAACCATACTCTGTGGTAGCCAAAGAGTTGATATATTGATACCTTTTATAGATACATGTCCACTACCAAAGACAGAATCATAGAATCAGTATGCTACCATGTTGTAATCGCTAATGAAATAATGGGCCAGGTGTAGTGGCTCATGCCTGTAATCCCTACACTTTTGGAGGCTGAGGTGGGAAGACTGCTGGAGGCCAGAAATTCAAGACCAGCCTGGGCAACATAGACCTATCTATGCAACAAGACTCTGTCTCTACAAAAAAAAAAAAAAAATTAGCCAGGTGTGGGCAGGTGTCCCAGCTATTCAGGAGGCTCAGGTGGGAGGATCCCTTGAGCCTGGGAGGTCAGGACTGCAGCTACCACTGCACTCTAACCTATGTGACAGAGCAAGACCCCTCAAAAAAAAAAAAAAAAAAAAAAGCAAAAAAGGAAGAAATTGTGGATCTAGACAACCATTATCAACAAATCAACAATAGCTGCTAACATCACAAAGAGGAACAACCAGATAGTATGTGCCTTTGAATGGAAGTACAAAACCACCAATAGGAAGTACTTATACAAAAAAAAAAAAAAAAATCAAACATCAATCTAAGTGAGCTTCTAGACCTAACTACCAATTTCTAAGAAATATAGTGGGAAGAGGAGCACATGACACTTCTGTGGAGATGCTATAAACAAAATTCAGACCACAGGAAACTACAGAACAAACAAGCCAGTTCCTTCAACAAATAAATTGCAAGGGAAGAAAAAGACAAGGGGAGAGAACCTACAGATTAGGAGAGATACAAAAGCCATCCCAACTGATGGCAACATTCGAACTTTACGCGGTGGCTCACGCCTGTAATCCCAGCACTTTGGGAGGCCAAGGCAGGTGGATCACAAGGTCAGGAGTTCAAGACCAGCCTGGCCAAGATGGTGAAACCCCATCTCTACTAAAAATACAAAAATTAGCCGGGTACAGTGGTGTACACCTATAATCTCAGCTACTCGGGAGGCTGAGGCAGGAGAATCTCTTCAACCCAGGAGGCGGAGGTTGCAGTGAGCTGAGATCACACCACCGCACTCTAGCCTGGATGACCGAGCAAGATTCCGTCACACACACACACACACACACACACACAAAGCATTTTATGAGATCACCAGAGAAATTTGAATACTAACTGGATATTTGCTGATAGTAAAAGCATTCTTGTTACTAAACAGTTTGAGGAGGAGTGAAGGTGGCCAAAAAAATTTTTTTGGAGTTACACATTGAAATGTTTATACAAGAAATGACTGACGTCTGAAATTTGATTCACAGTAATCTGGGATGAGGGAAGGGGAAGAGGGCGTGCATGGAATAAGGTTGGCTGGAACTTGACTGCTGAAGCCAAGCTTATTGTACCACACGCTCTGTTCCTATGTGTGCTTGAAGCTTTTCACAATAAAAAGAAAAAAAGTGGTAAAGACCAACCTTTTCCTTCCTTTCTCTCAATGCTTAGTGTGTCCACCCACTGCTGGCATCTCTGGGACAAGCCTGGGTAGCAGGCTTGAGATAGATCTTCACGCATCCCACCCCCGTCTCCATGGCAACCAGTGGGGAGGGAAAACTGCATCCACAAAGTTCTGGTCCCCACAGGGGTGAGGCCAGGCCACCAGTGTCATGCCAGGCCCTGTGTTGCTGCTCCCTCGGGAGAATTCCCACCAGAGCTGCCTCCCTGCGCCCATTCCCCATCACTGTGGCATTCCCTGTGTGCCCCCTGAAGAAGTAGGATCCAGTCAGTGGAGAGAACAGGACTCTGAATCAGATCCAGGTTCAAATTCTGACTTCACCACTTAATGGCAGGATCGGAAACTTCCCTGAGCCTCATTTTTTTCATCTGTAAGATGGGCATACAGTTTAATGTTTAAAAATGATGGGGGGCGTGACTGGGCATGGCTCTTGCCTGTAATGTCAGCACTTTGGGAGGCTGAGGCAGAAAGATCACTTTGAGCCCAGGAGTTTTAGACCAGCCTGGGCAACATAGTGAGACCTCATCTCTACAAAAATTTTAAAAAATAGGCCAGGCGCAGTGGCTCATGCCTGTAACCCCAGCACTTTGGGAGGCTCAGGTGAGCAGACTGCTTAAACTCAGGAGTTCAAAACCAGCCTGGGCAACATGGCAAAACCTCATCTCTACTAAAAACACAAAAACTAGCAGAGCATGGGGGCACATGCCTGTAGTCCCAGCTTACTTGGGAGACTAAGGTGGGAGGATCACCTGAACCGTAGAGGTCGAGGCTGCAGTGAGCTGTGATTGTACCACAGCACTCCAGTATGGAGGACAGAACGAGACCCTGTCTCAAAATAAAATAATAATAAAATATATAAAGCTGGTATAATGTGACCTTTGTTGAGTTAGTTGCTTGACACATCTTTACTATGAATGGACAGTGACAAAAAAGGATCTAGTCTCCAACTCATGGAACTCTACACAGGGGCGAGAGGCAGTCTCCATAGGCCACTGCGCCTGACCTCACATCCCGCTTTTTGAAAA